GAAATCCAACTGCAGCTCCTGGAAATCCAACTGCAGCTCCTGGAAATCCAACTGCAGCTCCTGGAAATTCAACTGCAGCTCCTGGAAACAACAGAAGAAAGCGTGGAGCCCATGACAATAGAAAAGACCACTCGGGGGACGGAAGAGGAAAGGGCCAAGAAAAGAAGGGACATGATAGCAGCGAAAGTGAGGACATGAGCAATGAGGATAGCTCTGAGAGCTATGAGACAACTGCAGCCTCTGCCTCTTACGGTATCTTCCAGCTGAGTGACGGCTATTTCTGTGATTCTGGTAACCATTTGTCCAGAAATCTCTGTCAGAAGTCCTGCACTGGTGAGTTTATTACACCGAAACAAATAAAAAACAAAGGATCAACTCACTGCCCACCTGTTATGTTATTAATTGTTCCTTTTCCCCTTTTAAGACTTCACCGATGATGACATAACAGATGACATTGAGTGTTTCTTGACGGCATTCTTCGATGGGTAAGCCAAAATACAGAACATCCATCTATACATTTGTTTTGTTCCTTACTTTATTAGTTCAATAGTCTTTGAGTACACTAAAACACTTAGTCATTGACTTTATATCCATATTAAAATTTGCAGTTGTACCAGTGGTGATGCTTGGTACAACTTCGCTACAGCCCTGCACTCGGGTATAAAACCATCTCACTCAGACACATGTCCATTCCCAGTGGCGAGTCAAGAACTGCAATAGCGACCATGACGAGCATTAATCGATGGCGTTACAGTGCAGACACAGAGTGCAATGACTCTCCTCCGCTCTGACTACTGGTATACTGCAGAACAGGAAGCCGGAGGGGCTGATGGCAGCATCACTGCTTGCTCAGGACAAAGTCAGGTTGGCAGTGCCAATAACACTGCAAAGTTTTTTTGGCATTAAAATCTCCGACACCAGTAACATTTTGGTAGATTAGTCAATACCAGTGTTTTTTTTTTTTTTAGTCACTTCAGGTTCTGAAAAATTTCTAACTATAGTGACAAAGTTGCTAAGTTGGCAACAGTGCTTATCTTGTCCTGACCTCACCTTGCTGTTGTCCTCTCAACCCCACACTGGACCCTGCTATGTCTCTTGGCTCCGCCCACTGCATCACTTGGCTCCGCCCACTTTGGTGGACTTTTTCTAAATTTGTCAGGTTATCCTAGCCCATCAGATTATGCTTTCTCAGGCGGATTAGTTATGTTAAAAAGGACTGCTGCAGAATATTTTTAGATGATTTTGAATGCTTTCTAAATTCTGTATCTATGTTTATAATTACATACATTTGTATGTGTGCAATGTGCAAACACTAATACAGATATGTTTTAAAAGAAGTTAACAACCCCTATAAGATTGTTTTCCTCATACTGTACTGATAATTATTATTGCTTTACATCAGGGGTGTCAAACTCATTTTGGTTTAGGGGCCGCATACAGCTTAATCTGATCTGCAGGGGGCCACACAATTAAACTCATTGCAAGATTAAATAGAACCAATAAAAGTGGACTTGTTGTTGATTTTTATATTAAACGAATTTCACTTTTACAAAATATATTATGAATAATCTCAGTTTTTAAGAAAGGTATCTGCAATTTCAACAATACTTTTACTCAGTTAAGCATTTATTTAAGTGCATTATGCATAATAAGTGATCTCAGTGATTGTACAATGCTGCAAAACATTTATTCACAGTTTTTGGAACTTAAAAACACTGTCCTGCATCACAAAATACAACAAACAAAAACTAAGAAAAGATTTAAAATCAATTTTCAACATCTGGGAAGCAATTTGAACAAATTATCTGGCTTCCCACATTTGAAAACTTAAGTGTCAGCTGTTTTAAACAGACATTTGATTAAGTACATTTGTTGATGCATAAAATGCATACATATAGAAAAACTTGCATACATAACATGTATGTATGTTAGCATGCACGAGAAATATGAGGTTGCCAGGGCCAAAATAAAAAGCTGGTAAAGCATAGAATCGAACTTGTTTACAGAACCTGAAGCTCAGTGCTGCCATCTGCTGTTAGTTCCGCTGCAGTGTTGCATCATGTTGTGTGCTCTGAATAAAACACAGCGCCCCTCGTGGACAGTATAGGAACTGCAGATTTTCAATTAAACGAAGTATATGTTTTTTCATGAATAATGATAATGCATTTAGCCCCCGGGCCGGACTAAATCGTTCGGCGGGCCGGTTCCGGCCCGCGGGCCGTACGTTTGACACCCCTGCTTTACATTGTAATGAAAAGTATAACAAAACATAAGTGCCAGAAAAAACAAAAGGCTAGCTGTTAATCTAGTCGTTCTGCTTTTTGAATAGTTTTTAAGATGTCTGTTTTTGATTACGCAGGTATCTTCGGAGGTCCGACTCTCACCAATGTGAAGATGAAGCAGGAGCATTCCTCCAATACTGCTCCTAAGTGTCTATGAGAGCACATTTTCTTCCACCAGGTGTACTCCCACTGCGGGTTGTAGATCGCTGAATTGAAGCATTGCTCTCTTTTTTGTTGACTATCACAGCAATACCTTTTCATCAATTATTTTCTTAAAGATAACAAAAAATGTTTTGTTGGATTTAGGGCTTACAGTGGATGTTTGAAAACCTTATGATTTAAGTAACTTGTGATTTATAGCAGCCCCTTTCTAATAAAGGTGAAAAATGATGTGAGTGTAACTGACTATCTATAAACAGTTCATATAATATCTATCATCTATTTCGTGACTGATCACGTTTTAGATATACCAATAGGACCTGGTGACGTTTATCCAAAATGTAACATTTAAGGTGTATAATAAAAAATGCTCCAAAATTGTTCTCCGTTGTCAAATTTTTATAATGCAAAATCTTCTTTTAGAATTTACCATCAAAGATCTTTGAAATAACAGTTGAAACAAATATGAAGACATCAATTTAGAAAGGAACAGATAAGAAGACATGTGAATGATGAGTTATGGTCTGAGTGTCAAGCTGAGGCCTAACCTTCACATGCAGAACATTACAGAAAGGTGGAGAAAATGTTTAAAGGGTAAGGAGATTGGATGCAAAGAGAGAACACAAACCGTGAAGTCTGCCTCTACATCTGCAGAAAGGGAGAAAACAAAACTGAGAAACCACATCAACAAACATATGCGTATACAACGTCCCTGAAAAGTCCTGCGACCGACTGGTGACCTGTCCAGGGTGACCCCGCCTCTCGCCTGGAACGTTCACCGGAGACCAGCAACCCTCCCGACCTCACTAGGGACAAGGGTGTTAGAAAATGGATGGATCACTGAAAAGCCCATGGTACAAGTTAATACAAGATGCATTTAGTGGCAACCACAACCCAAAGTAGAGTGTATCTGAAAAATACCTCAATCTAAAAACCTGTAAGTTTAGATTCTAAATATGCAGGTGTTTATATCCCAAACACCTGTAATTTTAAAATTTAAGTTCTAAACATCTACATGCTTACGTTATACTTATGTCTAAGTATTATCTTGTCTGTGTGAGGATTTGTGTTTTTTCTGTTTATTTTGGTTTCTGTGTAAATTGAGTCTGTGTTGTCGTTACCCCTTGATAAGCTACACCTGTTCCTTGTTTCCCCTGATTGTCTCCCTGTGTATTTAAACCCACCTGTGTGCTTGTTGGGTCCTTGTTTGTATTATTCTTACCAGTCGCTACCAGTTTTCAGCTACTAACCTTCTGCTCATCTGTGCTGCCTGGACTTTTGGATTTTGTACTTCATTTCATCATTAAACCATTATTTCCTCACCACGGCTCAACCGCAAGTCAGGACGTCTGCTGTTTTGCGATACAGACGTGTGTGAATTGCTTACTAATTATGTTTTTGTCTTGTGACCGAATATAATTTTGACATTTTACCGCTTCACTGTTTCACAGCCAATGCAGACTTTGCCTGATGGACATTTCTCATCATCAGCTGGACATAACAAATGAAATACAACATATCGGAAATCAATTAACATTTTAGTGTTCACCATTGCTTATTTTAGAAAAAATACTATAATGTTAAAACCCCCACAGGTGAATAAAACAAAGAATCAAATGAATGGTTATCCTTTGTCTAGTCATAACTATTTTTTTATATAATAACTTGGGTCTGTGCACAAGGACAACACCAGAGTTTCTGCAACCTGTATGATTCAAAAATCAATTTTTACTGTCGGTTCAGCTTAATAAATCTTATTTAGAGCCAGTAATATGACATGAAACAGACAACTTAATGTTAAATATCTTTAGGCTTTAAAATAAAAAAACAAAACAAAACAACAACAAAAACTATGGGATGTTATTTGTAGAAAATTATGCAAAAAAGCACAAAGTTTCTAACCTAACAACAAGAGGAAAGGATTTAAGAATAATTACTGGTGATTTTATTGTTCTGTTGTGCAGACCCGTGGACCTGACCAGAAATATGATAAAAAAGTCACTGCCCAATGAAATTGGATGAGTATTGTCTAAAAACACATGATAAAAATCCCCTTTTAAGGCAAAATAAAAAAAGACTATTATCCACTGAAACACTTTATATGAATTAAATAAATCTGAAAATGTAAAGAATGTTATATCTGATAGAAGATGGCCTGAATTATAGGAGACAAGTATGGTTGAGGAATTCAAAGCACACTGATTTTTAAAATACTGATTTTTAAACTGACAAACTAAACTATATTAACTTTTCTGAAGTTAAAAAAAAGAAGTGTAAACATCAACCGTGACCTGATGGTGGCAGCAAAAGGAAAGGCTTAAATACCAAAATCCGTCATTATAATGTAGGAAAATGTATGAATAAAAAATACATTGCTGCTGTAAAATTACTATGTGAAAAAGACTGAAATAAAGTCTGAGAGCAAACAAAAAGCTAAAAAGTGATCCAATCTTTACAGGAAAAGTGCAGAAAACAATATTATTGCTATTTTGTCTTTGTTGCCAGACTTACAGGAGCAACCACAAGGAGGAGCTGGTTGCCTGCATGTTTCAGGAACCTTTTACTCTACAAAAAGGAAATCTCCAAACAGTATTTTAATCATGTTATTAACAAAGTCATCACGTTTGTGCGTGTATACTCATTTTTGTTACCTATTTAAGACTCTTTGTGGTATATTAACCTTCTCAAGACTGACAGGTTTAATGGGGACTAAAGACCGGTCCGGATCTGGAAGGGTCTTTAATGATTAGGGTTAGCTTAAGCCTTAATGCAAGCGATTTACTTAAGTTACCCGTGTGCAGCACAGCTAACATAAGGCTTATGGGGCTTTTCATATATCCTATAATTATTTTTGATAATTAAGGGGTATATGGCATTATGTTTGGTTTAATTTGCCATATGTTTTGGCAAGCCGCTACATTTTTCCCACATTTTGAACCAGGCGTCTTATTGCTGGGTTTCAGATGACGTAGCAACGACATCACCCAATGCACATGGAGGGCCAGAAGTAAATTCAGCCCATTTATTTTTGTTGATCCAGCATCAAAATGTCTAAAGTCTGAGTCCTGTACAGTTGCTCCAACCGCTCTAATAGAGAGAAAGATAAACGTTATTTTTGTGTTTCAAAGGTAGTTGGTCATAAGGGAGTTAATTTTAAAAAACTACTGGAAAAAAAAGAGGAGAAAAGTGGATCAACAATCTGCAGCTAAAACCAGGAGGTGTGCAAACTAACAATGCCAGAGTCTGCAGCGCCACTTTCTAACAGGTAAAGATCGCATCATTTAAATTGTATTTTCAGATATTTTATTGGACAGTTACTTAAAAAGACAAGTATTCATATGTAAGGATTATTACGGATGGCCATGGCTGGGAAGTAACGCGGAATATCAACCCTAGTCCAGAAGAACAAAGTAACTCTCCGTCTGCTGTGATCTCACCCAAGTTATTCAAATTCAAAAATATTCTATTGATCCCAAAGGAAAATTAAATAAAAGGTGTCAGCATTTATCTCATCATCCAGCTCAGATTATGGCGCCAGCTTGTCATGATCATAGACCACAAAATATTGTTCCCAGCCTCATAAGCATAGTTTAGAAAAAGCCATGAACTCACCAGATACATCACGTTTTTATTAAGGACAAGACTTCGCCTCAGTTTAGATTAATTAATTACCTAGATTTTAACTTGTAAAATATTTTAATGCAATGAACCTTTTTTCTTTCTTTTTGTTTCACATAGAAAGATCACGACGGGAATCTTTGTATTTGTGTGTTTCTGGAATAAGTTACATGAAAATGTTCAGGAGTTCATGAAAAAAGCTGAAAACAACAAATATCTACGTTGTTGAGCTCATGCGTCTATTAACAGCAAAAAGTGTTTTTGAATTGAAAATGTTATTTTGTTTTAAATATATATATATATATATATATATATATATATATATATATATATATATATATATATATATATATATATATATATATATATATATATATATAACATGTAACCTACATATAGGTGTCTTTCTATAAAAAACAAAAAAACAAAACGTTTTTCCAACGTTTTGAAATTCAGTCTATTACGCTTTTTTGACACAACTTCTGCTTTGGAAAACACCCTCTCACATGTCACAGATGAGGCTGGAGTGCAAAGGTATTGCAATGACAACCGGAAGAGGTTAGGATAAATTGTCTTATGGTTCTGCCAGTATGTCAATGGATCCTGACATCTGGCATTATTGCCCTCTGCAAGATATCTCTGCACCTCCTGGATGGCATCAGCTGTGGCACTTTTGGTCTGCCTGCCTACTTTGGTGTCAAGATGGTGCCAAAGGCTATCTAAAAACAGCAAATTGACATTTTAGTACATCTTGTCCAAACAAATTACAAATAATGCTGAATAACATGCCTGAGTTGGGTGCAGACAGCTGCTGTGAAGATGGTCCCGGCTGGGGCCCATTTGTGTGTCCGATAATAGATGCACATTCTGACCGCAGTCTACTGATGGCCTCATTGCATATGGAGCATTTTCATCATCGGGATGACCTTGGATCCTGACACTCGCCTCTCTTCAGACAACTCCACTGTAGCTTGATGGAAAGGAGCAAGCACAAGAAGTGTTTCTCCTATGATGTTATGCTCATCAGCTGTAAGTGGAGTCAAATCTGCTTTTAGAGAGGCCAGAGATACCCACACTGGTTCTCTCTCATCATGTAGCCTTGACAGCATTCCATATGTGCTGTTCCAGCGTGTTGGCACCTCATTGATAAGTTTCAGGATTGGTCGTCCCATCTGTTGTTGCACTTGAGCAAGCTTCTCCTTGGCTGTAGTGCTTGATCTGAAGTTTGTCACAATGTGCCTAGATTTCTGTCTGATGATGTAAGTGTGGGGATTTGATCACATGATTTTCTAACTAATAAATTGAGAGTATGTGCAATGCAAATCGAGTGCCGAATTACTGGCTGCCTAGCGGATGCGATCATGTTTGGTGCTGCATCAGTCACAAGACACCTTACTTTATTGGTTATGGCCCAGTCCTCCATTATGTCTCTTTGACTTGGGCCAAATTGTCAGCAGTGTGGAAAGTATTTTACTCCTAACGCAGATGTACACAACTGCAAATTTTCATTAATGTAGTGACAGGTAAGAGCCAAAGAAGCCTCCATGTTCACAGATGTCCACATGCAGTGGTACAAGAAGTGGGCATGCAGGGCATGCAACGCATGGGTCGCTGCACCAGAGGGGGCGTGAAAAGCCCGTCTGGAGTGGGCGGCGCGCCGATGATGTGTTCACATTCACTTGAGCGCCCTTACGGTCCTTCACCTCGCGCCCATAACGGGGTAAATGTAGCGAGTTCTTGCATGTGGGTTAATCGAGTTAAACCCAACATGACAATAGGTTTTGATTAAAATCTGATTTATTGCGATTAATCTTTGCTTCTAAAACTTGATTGTTCTTAGTTTAATAAATAATAATTGAGCACGACAAAAAAACTAATAGAATGTGTTTTGCACAAAATATGCTGTGCATGATCAGTTCTCAAAAACAAATTCAATGTAAACTAAATCAGAAATGAGGCAACCTGTGTGCCCAGACTGAAAGTCATCCAAATATTTATTTGGAGTTTACGTTCATTTATGCTCTTCTTACTTACTTTGTAAAACCAGTAGAAGATGTCCTTCCGCAGTGAAGAGTCAGTTTTTCTTAAGGTTTTGGAGCTGTCCCTTCTCCAACAGAACTTATTCAAAAAGATTGAATTATGTTCTTGGCTGGTCAAGAGGTTCTCCAGTGGTCTGGTGACAAACTATCTTTGATTAAGGGTCTCTGCAGTCGAGAAGGGGGCAGTTCCTGGATGTGGGAATTTATGGAAGATGGTGTGCAAGCGTTGTTGCACGGTTGCACCAGGCAACCATTTTTTAAAAAGTATTCTTTATCTCAGTCATATTTGCTTACATAATGTACCTAAAAGATGTTCAACTGGATCTGGAGCTGTTACAGTAAGGAAAACCAGTTTTAATAAGTTCCTGTCATGATTAACTTGAAAAGGAATGAGTCTGGCAGTAACTTCTGTCTTTGTGTTCACACACACAACCACGCCAAAGCCAATGGAGCTGTTTGCGACAGCAGCTTCCTTATTCTGTACACAACCTGTAAATAATTAAACATGAGACAAGTGGAGCATTTCATGCCATCATACTCCTGTGGAGGAAATATTCTCTATGCTACTGGCATGTATCTTATCTTCCTTCATTTCTTGAATTTCTTTCACCGGGGGTTGACTGTGATCCAGAACCATTCTTCCTCTGGTGGTCATTTAGCATCACAGCACAGAACCACACACTTCAAACTGTTTTGACCCAAATATTATGGCTCTCGATGCAGTTGATAACTATAACCAATTGCTGTTTCTAGGTCATTTACTCCATGTTTTCTTCATTTTACCATCAAGCTACAACTGAATAAAGACCATTAGGACCAAGACATTAAAATAAAACACTGCACATCAGTTGTTTTGACTTAATAAATGACTACACGCACAAATAAAAATGATCAGAGCAAAAACATACGAATAGTTAATTTATTTTTTTATGAAGGATGAATTTCTAATATTTAGAAATACATCAAACATGGTTGCACAGTGTTTGTAAGGAGTCATCTAACCTGGGCATCAGCGTTGGCAGGATTTTCCAGAGTTCAGCCCTTTTTTTCTGCTGCAGGAGTTTAAAACAACTCAAGTGGCCTTATGCGTGCAGCATAAAAAGATTAACAATAACTTTTTCATAAAAAAAACTTTCAGTTCAAAGTGTAAACACAAACTACTGGTGGGGCTACAGTTTGTAATTAAGTTAAATTTTTTCTAATTCCCTTCTGTGTTGTTGAAAATACCTTTAAGACAAGTTTGAACTACACCTTTACTATGATAAAACTAACATAATCTTGATTCTGTTCTAAAGATAGACACATGTGTTTGTGGTTCCTGTAAAGAGTCTAGACTTCCTGTAAAGTGACCACATCGTGATGATTACCTTGACAAACCAGTTTCCCCTTCTGACTTATCTGAACAAAAACAGACTTGCTACATGCATTTATGCTAACGTCTTGTGACAGGCCGTGTCGCACTGATTTCTTTATACTACTTCATGCACACTTACCTAACTTTGTTAGTTACATCTGCTTAAATACTTGGAATACTAAAATGCATCATGGTGAAGATTAATTACTGAAGTTAAAACTGAGCATCACAATGGGAAAGGTGATTTAAATGACTTTGATAATATGGTTTTTATTTAATATTTGACACCTTCGTACCAATTGAGCAGCGTTTAAACACCACAGGCTACCACCCATTCACCATCATCTGACGGCTACTTTCAGAAGGATGTTACAAAACTCAGATCATCTCCAACTGGGTTCCTCAACATGACGATAAATTCACTGTACTCCAGTCACCAGCTCTCTATCCAACAGAGCACCTTTTGGACCTGTTGGTATGGCAGAATCACGAGGAAACCAAAATCTTTGAGCAAGTTTTAAACTGCTATGAATGCAAATGGGGGTCCAACCTATTGCTAGCAAAGTCTACCCAATAACGTAGCTGATTGGTACAGAGCTGTTTGTGTAATCTTTTTAAAATGTGTTGAATAACCTTTTTCTTTTCCTTGCCAAAATAATCCCTGGCCTGTTTGCAGCTTTTTCGCTATTCATAAATAGGCTACATTCACACAGCAGGCAAATCCAACTCTTTCACAGCAGCCTGAACTACCTGTAAACAGTGGCTGAAAGGTATAATTATGAAAATTGAACTGAAGCACATTACAATCAGATCCCTCCAGGTACTGACTCCACAATTAAAAAACAACATTTCTAAATAAGTGGCAGTCAATGCACCACAAAAGATCATAGCTATTAGCTGAGCTTTCTCTTAATTCGCCTCCTTTGTCATTTTGTTATGATCTTGTGTGGATACTGTCTGTCGTGCTTGTTTTAATACTACGAACCCACATGCAGAACGCAAATCAGGATGCGAATAATCAGTTAAAGTGATTTATTTACAAACAGGTATTCAAGGTAGGTTCTCGTATAACTCGTGGTGGCCAAAACATACAGGAACGCTGAGGAAAACAGATCCTGAGGTGAGTTCAGAGACCGTGGTAATTTTCAGTTCACTTGAAAGTAGTATGCTTACTCTTGTGGGAAACGACGCAGCCAGGGCTTGGGTGCTGAGGATCTGGGTTGGAGTCTTGGAGGAGGATCTCACCAGACAGAGAGCCCCGGTTAGCGGCATCAATAAAGTAAGAACTGGAGGTGGAGGCCGTCCAGACAGGTAGTCGGACATGAATGCGTCACGGAGAGTGAGCGGACTGCCAGCTGGGAATCTCAGACACTGAACAGGTTTTCAACGGAGGAAGGTGAGTATAGGTCTTGGGCATCAATGGGTATTTATCCACGGCGTCACAAGGAAACTCGAAGTCAGAGCCAGACTTGGAGTCTCAGAAACATCTGAAAGGAACCCAGACAACAAGAAAGCGTTATTTCAATTCCACTAGGAAACACAAACTCGATCTCAGGAGAACTCAGAGCTACCATAACTGGCTGACCCTCAAGCGTCAGTATGCTGGCAGTCGGTGTCTCTTGAAGCCCCGCTGACGAGCAGATTGGGAACCGGTGTGACGGTGACGTCAGCACTCCAGTCCTCCCGACCTTGCCTCAACGGTGCCATCTGGTGGTGATGGCGAGCAAT